GTTATGTACGCGTCAGATCCTAAGAGCTTGTAGCCAGCCAACAATGTTCTGTTATTTACGAAAGGTTTAACTACATGATTTGTCAGAAACAGAATTAAAGTCTAATAAGAAAGATCATTAAATGAGACCTTAGATTCGAGTTTGCGTCAGGGAGGGAGGGGAAAAAAGGGAGGAGGAAAGGGAAAAAAGGGAGAAGGGAAGGGAAAAAAGGGAGAAGGGAAGAGAGGGAAGGGAAGAGGCTTACAGTTGTGCCTGATAATCACAACCCTTTCTTTTACATGGTTTAGATTTCATCGTCTTCTTCCTCTATTTGAGGAAGGGAGGGGAAAGAAGGAGAGAAGGGAAGAGAGGGAAGGGAAGAGAGGGAAGGGAAGAGAGGGAAGGGAAGAGGCTCACAGTTGTGCCTGATAATCACAACCCTTTCTTTTACATGGTTTAGATTTCATCGTCTTCCTCCTCTATTTGCTCTTCAATATCGCTCGTGTCTTCATCCATATTTCCATCATGGCTGTCCCTCGTATATCCTGCTCCTGAAGACCTTCTTGACCCGCCAAAATAAACCTGGGACCCAGTCTCCTCGAGGTCATCGTCTGAGTCAACATCTACAATTTTTCCATCCTTAGTAACCAAGTCCCGCACAAGTGCCTCCTCTACGCCTGCGCTACGAAGGATATCCGCATACTTTCGCTCTGCAGCGCGCCTGGCCGTAGCTTGAGATTGCTGTTCGAAGAGCAGAGGTCGTTTATTCACACGCTCTTGGATCTCTTTCAGTTCTTGGTGGTATTCTTCTCTCCTCGCCCGATCACCTTCCCTGTAGGAAGTAAAAATTGTCATAAAATTAATAACTTGAGCTCCCCGAGACAACGCTCATAGTGATGTTGTACGGATCAAATGTTTACAGCCTATTCCTACTAATCTCCTAAAGGGCAGGCGTAATTTGGAAGAGCGAATGCTCAGTTTTTTCTTAACGAAAAATGGCTGCCATTTCAGATTTTAATGGCAGCGGAGGGCTGGGGAGAGAAAGTAATTTGTACCAAGGGGGCAAGTGACGGTCAAAAGTAAGGAGGGGGGAGTGAAAACTGAATATTACAATCAATTTTCTTCCCGCCCCTTCCCGCCCACTTCCCCTACCGTCCACTCAAAATCCAAATCCAACATGGCGTTCAGATAAACGATCACGAGCTTTTAACGTTGGCTCGTCCTTATAAGACGCCTACACTGCAGGCTACATCGGCCATAAAAAGTCTGCAATCGAAGTACCTAGTTCTTGTTTAGCCCACAGGAGAAGCAACCAAAATTGCTTAACTGGTCTCATCACCAATCAAAATCGTACTCTTCTCTATCTATATAATCAAAACAACGTTACTTATTTCCTTCTAATAACGGTTGGAAACGTCTGTATGATATACGCGCATGACCAAGCACGCAACGCGCAGCCGCTCCGAAACGATGGAGACGTTTTTCCTTGTCAGCTCAATTTTGGACCTACAAAGACTTCCTACTCTCATCGCGTGTTATAAACTTGAACGAGATTTTATGTGGATTTAGGAGCGATGTGCTTGAGAGCTAACGACACACAAGAGGGACAATAAGCTACATCAACAACGGTGGAAAACAACGGAAAATAATTCACCCGGCAGTACATGGGTCACTCACCTTAAACTTTGAACTTTTTCTTTAGCAGCTTTTTTCAATTGTGCACTGTGATCATTCGCCATCACTTTTCGCGTCACCTCTGGTTTTAACATGTTTTGTCGGCGTTGCCTCCGTTGCACTTGTTTTATCTCTTCTTGTTCATTTGCTTTTTTGTGTTCCAGGCTCCTGCGGATTGTACTCTCGCGTAACCGCGTAGACTCTGTGGTTCTGAAACAAAAATTGAAAAGCAGTAATTGAATATGAGAGTTATCTTCGCAGTAATGAACACTACTTAATCTGTGGTGAAAATAAGGCCTGAAAAAAATTCAGGCTTGTACGGGAGTCAAATCCATGATCTCAGCGACTCCAACCAAGCTAACAAGCCAACTGGGATATTCATATAATTTGGATATATCAACAAACTTGACGTAGTAAATTGGCCACCGTAACGATTCCAAATTATTCCAGCTTTTGGAATCGTTACGGTGGCCAATTTACCATTTCAACTTTGTTGATATATCCAAATTATTTCGTTACTCCCACCGACGCAGCCCCAAACAGTTTCTTTCACAACTATCAGCCTTTATTCATTGGGATATTCATAAATTCACAATCGTTCATTAATCACTTTACGGGTTTAACACAAACTAACAAAATGACCAGCTCAACGGTGTGCGCTGCAGTGTTAACCATTTGTTAATTCTGCAATTTCAAAGGTCAAGATAGTATGACTAGTTGAGTTCTATTGGACATCGCGTGGTTATTTTACCATTTGTTTTGTAACAACATCCATACATTGTAGCAAAAGAGTTCACTTTCATTGAACCAATCGTGCATGACAGATAAACAAGCGCACGAAAACTGGTCATTACATTCGATCACGTCAGCAGGTACACCCATGTGAAAACAGTAGACACAGAATTGACCAATCTGAGTACGCATGCTAACATCAAAATAATTGATGTTAGCATTCCACGCGAACTCTAACATCTGACTTTGCCGAAAAGGAGTGACCGCTCGAAGTCAATCGGCGGCGCCTCGCATCCCACAATTTTGTTCTTACATTTTCTATTGAGAAAAGACGCATGGCAACCTGGATTGTATTTCATCAAGGGATTCGTACTTACCCAAAAGGAAGCGTATCATGGGGTGTGGGCGGCCTGGCTCTAGAAGGTCTTTCCCTACTAGCCGAGCGATCCCGTGACGATCTGCCAGTATCTGGGACCTCTTGAGACCCAGACGACCTGGCCTTCCTTGTCGCGGACAGTCGCGCTGTTCTCAGATTAAAGGGCTCTACAACTGTAGGTTCCAGCTCCTTTTTCTTATTCCTCATCTCTTTTTCAAACTGACTATGAAGCGCATCAAACTCTGGTACGTCCGGGTTAATTTGCGGTCGAAATTTGTGTTCTTTGGTCATAAAAGCGTTTTTATTACCCTCTCTGTTCAGCTTACTGCGGAAATGTCCAAGTGTGTATTCTTCCCCTCTCGCTTCCATATTTGGAGGGAGACGCGACGCAGCCAGCATTTCCTGCGCGCGCATACGCACACGAATCGCTCTGTACTCCTCTTTTTCGGCAATCCTGTCTGCAAGAGTCAGATCGAACAAATGATCGGGAAATGGGTTGGCTTTAAACTTCTTTTTTTCATCGACTTTGTTCTCGAGTTCCGCGAGATTGCTTAAAGATTTGGTCCGACGCATCTGTTTCTTGTCCTCCTCGCGCTTCATGAATTTGAACGGTTTTTCACTTGATTTAAGGATCGCTTTGCTAAGCTCTTGAACATGATATCTTCTTAGTTCGTTCTGCCGGGAAATCTCGTCATAAAGAGGCAGAAACGTCGAAGCGGGAACAGGCTGCGCGCGGAATTTCTTATGCAGCTCAGCTTCCTCTTTTTCTTTCTTCTTCTTCAAGTCTTCCTGAAGAATCATTTGTGATCTGGTTATATGTTTCGACTTTTTCTTAGCCTCTCTCATTGTCATGGTAAACGGCTTAGGAATGGTAATCTGCGGGGTCCACTCTTTCTTTTTCGCATGTTTCTCGTGCGGAGGACTGTCCCCAGGTGGGTAGTCATAAACTGAGAAATCTCCCCACATATTCTCCACCACATCCAGCGCGGACGATCTCTGCGGATACATCTCTTTATACAGGACTTTGTGATCTTCTGATCGGCCTCTGGTCGCATCTCTGTCCTCATCCTCCAAGTAATCTCCATCTAAGGGATCACTGTGAGACCTCCTTCGTGAAGTTTGCAGTTCCTCAAAAGACGAGTCTCCTGCAGAAAAAAAATAAAAAAGTTAGAAATAATACTTTTAGAGATAATGGCTAGATCTTGAAAAAAAATATATCTTTTTCAACGTTCAGACACAAGATCAAGTTCAAAACTCTCCCTTCTAGTCCCTGCCCCCTAACTGATTACCTTTTATAAAAATTTTCAAGACTTAATAACTTGTTATTTCATAATTCCTGCAACTAAGAGTTAATGAATGACTTAAGCTCAAGCTCCGACAAAACAGGAGCCATTTGCTCCAAATTCTGACCATATAGAATTTTGTAAAATAAGTTTTGTTATCATGAGAAACTAAATAGAGAAAGTATCCATTATGTTTGCATAGAGGCCTCTGGTGAGCTTTTCCCTTTTCCAGTTTGAGTGTTCTACATTTTCTCAGCATTTTTCTTTTATTTCAACTCTAACCACAAAACAACCAGAAAGAATCTGACCTTCGAAGCATAAAGAAAATCAGTTCAAAGTGCAGGCCTATTTTTCCTGCAAAATCCAAACATCACTTGTACAGATAGTTATTATGGTCTGGTAGTGGTGTTAAACTTGAGCTTTTGTTGGATGATTCAAGAGAATCTACACAAACAACCGTTTTCGTTTTTTTCCTCTTTTAACATTAAAAAAATTGCACTTGATTTTCAGTGCTCTCAGATGTTTGACAATTGGTGAAAGTGCTACATAGATCATTGTCATCATCAACACCACCATGACCATTACTATCTTTATCAACAAAATAACTACTTTCATTAAATTAGCATTACTAAATTATTATTATTATTATCGCAGTATACACTTTTGAATGCTTCAGATTACAAATAAAATTGATATAGGCTGCCAAAGGTGTAGCCTATTCAATTGACACGACTAAATAGATAAAAGCTAAACTTTAATAAAATTGTGTGCCCCTAGACACTAAAAGGAAATAAATGTTCCATCAACCTATTAAAACTATGCTCAAACCTAGCATCGTTTAAGGAACTTAGTTCGATAGGACCTTAAAAGTCCAGACACAAATAAACCTAAAAGTTTTAAAATGGTATACTCATAGACCCTAAAATGGAAGTAAATGTTTAAAACCTGTACTTAAAACTAACGTCGTTGGAAGAACTTAGTCCAATAGGACCTTGAAAGTCCTGGCAATGTTAAGGGAGCTAGAGACTACAGCTTTCTACATGTTCCTTAGCACTGAATGACATCGGCCACTTCCAATCAGTTGGCGTATGCTTTCCTTGACCCTTAACGAGCTCCCTCCAAGTGTGTCTATTATGATGTTATGCTGCTCAATCTTGTACTCTGGGTATCTCCTTAATTCGCACTGCAGTGGGGCGTACTTGTTCGTCTTCTCTGCACATTTGATCTCTGTATTACTGAACCATGGACAGCTCATTTCAAGTAACACTACTTTCTTTCTCTCCTTGTCTATAACCGTACAGTCTATCCTGTTGTTTCTCACCTCTGCGTGTTCTGCATATGGTGGTATGTCCCAGAGTGCCTTTCTTCTCTTGTTCTCATAAAGTGGCTTCGGTGTGTTCTGAGAGTACCACGGTGGTACTGTTGTCACTAAGTCTAGGTCTTTCAAGAGTTTGTAGAAAATTACCTTAAGTGCTGCATTATGCCGAGTCATGTATTTAGACTCGGCTAGAGCTCCACAACCTGCTAGCATGTGCACTTGCGCTTCAGTGGCCTTACCACACATGCGGCACTTCACATCCTCACTCATGTGAGTCCCTGTCTTTTTCTGGTGGTAGACTTTCGTTGGTAGGAGTTGCAGGTATAGTTCCTGCAGTCCCGCTATGGTGTGAGTCGGCGCAGTCTTCCACTCACTCATCCAAGAAAAGCATTCATCTCCAACTTCTTGACCCTCCACCTCTCAGTGAACAAATGTCCTTGCCATCCCTCTTTATCATTATTATTATTATCGACTGTCCGAACTTTTTAAGAACCCTTACAAATAACCTTTCGAACAAGAATACTGAATCCTATGCCAGCGTCATCCCTGGCTACAAATACAACTTTCAATTTGCTATATTAAGAACTGTACACAGATGTTCTAGAGAGGTTCTAGAGTTCTGTTTAAATCGCGCGAGGTCTCAGAAGACTTCACCCTCACTGTAGCNTAAATAATTTAGCAATGGACATTCCACTGGGTGGCTCTTCTTGTCCACTGTTTCCAGATCGAATTGGAATTTGGAACGTTGGTTTTTGCGGAGGGAGGAAAACCAGAGGACCCGGAGAAAAACCCTCGGAGCAAGGACGAGAACCAACAACAAACTCAACCCACTGTGACGCCAAGTCCGGGAATCGAACCCAGGCCATAGTAGTGGGAGGCGAGTGCTCTCACCACTGCGCCATCCCTACTCCCCTAAGGAAGAGTTTACACTGAAAACTCCCTGAGGAGAGACTTGCGACCTACATTTCTGTACTGAATTAGAATTTAGGAGGAAGTTGTTCTGCGCGGATAAAGAACAGTCCCCCGAAAGTGTTGTGATGCGCATTTGATCATATCCACATGTTAATTTGCGAAATATAAATATTAAACTATTATTATTATTATTATTGATTTTAATTTTTTTTTAATTTTTTTTTTTTTAGAGAACTGCTTTTTGTGAAATATTTTTAAGGAAAAATCTATTATTATTATTAAGTTAATACCGAAGAGATTCAAAACTTTTCTCTCAGTTAGAGACTTTTTAAACTTGTTTTGTAATATTTATACCTTAATTATGATCATCATTATAATTATTATAAGAAGTGTGTATCCATGAGCTTTTTCTGGGATTTTTACTGGACATTTTGACGCATTTGTTTTCGATTTTTAAGCATTTCATCATAATTTTTGTAAATACTTTTAGTGATTATAGTGAATAATGATTATTACTAATTATTATTATCATCATTATTATTACTATTATTACCAATGATGATACATCGTTCCCTTACCTTCATTTTCCTTATCTTCTATGGTTCTTTCATCTCTAATTGACATGTCCCTAATGTAATCTTCTGGTCTGACTGAAATTGCAGTGTCTTCCTTTTCGTCACTTTCTTCTGCTCCTGTAAAAGGATTATAATCACGCAAAGGCAAGTGTTCTTGGACTCTAGATTCATCAAAATCTCTCACAGCTATTTTCGTCCTTGAGTCTAGTTCAAACCCGTAGTCGTGTTTGTCCCTTTCAGAATAATACAGCTTTTCAAGCGCTTTTAGACTTTTCTTGTGTTCATTCTTCAGCGCTAATAGATGTTCGTAGAAATTCTCCTCGTCAACACCGTCAAGCTCACGAAGAGAATGTGATAGAGATTCTCTGACCGACACCTTGGTTTTGTGACCTTGGTGGTGCTTTTTGTGTGTGGGAGAAGATGGCAGTTTTCTTTCACCAAAATCGGTAAATCCATCATTTTCAAGTGGTTCTGCTTCTAAAGAACTTCTTACTCTTTCGTTTTCAGTTGCTGGTTTATTTGTTCTGGGATGTCTGGGCGCTGTATAACAGAGATTTCTTATAACGGCCGTTCCATGGTTCGACGCCATATTGACTACTGAGTTCGTAACAACCGCGCGGGCTTTATGTTTTGTCTTGACAACGAAGAAAATTTTCATACGCAGTGTGGTAGGGTAGTAAAAAACTGTCAAATGAAATTTTAATCAATAATTTGTCATAAATGGATCCTCAGATTTTACTACGGAATAATTATGGAACTAAAAAGGCTATCTTTGATTAGTCATTTATTAAGTTTACCAAAAACTCCATACCTGCTTGTACAATACAAAAACTCCGCCACATCCCTCTCTACTGAGTATAGGATATGCGGTTCAGCCTCGTTTCTTTGTTGTTGTTCCCACTCCCCTTCTCGTTGTGACCCTGTCAAGAGAATTTAAAGATGTCTGAGGCAGCGTTGTATATATTTGGACTTATAGATGGAGCTGCGTTACTCTTTTTAACAGTTTACTTTGTATCCTTCAACTGATATAAACTCATAGTACATTATTATGGAATTAACTTTCTGTAAAAATGTAGTTTATACAACTATTTTTTCGTTGCCATATTCATGTCATTTGCATCGAAATTACATACTGTTAAATAAGACTTAACGTTTTAAGTTCCGGCTTATTTTAGTATCATCAGACATAATTCAGTTCAGCTACAAAACCATAACCTTGAACATGGTGTAATTCACCTCATAAATATATCATTTACAAATTCACTTATTACTGTTTCGTTTGCGCCTAAGCTAAAATCATAATTCTGTATTTTTTACTTTGTCGAGATTTTTTGTTAACTCGAGTTTTTGCCAAGATCATTAACTTGTCGGATTTGGAATGCGACTACATCAATGCCACCACATGCTGCAGAAGACTTAACGTGGTAAGTGTCATTTTGCGATATGTAAGCTAAAAATCTTTTTCCCAATTTAACCAGGGAGGATTTGAAAAAAACGAAACTTTAAACCACACCCCAATTAATTGATAAATTTAAAATTAAGAAACAAAATTAAGACAGATGGTTATAACGATACCATAATCTACCTGAAAGTATTGCTACAGATTAATTGTTACTACAGCTAATAAGTTAAGTTATTGGTTCCTGTCGTTTTCTAAATATAGGAAATCCACAAATTACTCCAACAACAAAATGTAACGCTCATGTGTATGTTTTTCTACTTTTGTTTTGTTTTGTTTTGTTTTTTTTCTAGTGGATTCTTCCAGAAATGGTTGCCCATGGAGTAATAACAGTATTGTTACTAGTACATTTTCAGTGGATATTTTTCTTGCTCAATGCTCCTCTATTTGGTTGGCTTGTATTCAGGTGGGTTTTTCTGTGGCACACCAAGAAAAGGGGAGAAACCTTCAAATTTGACAGGGTATAGAATTTCTCTAATAAACATTTTGAAAGGACTTTAAGCCTGGAATAATGTTTGAGCATTAGATATTCTGTGTGAATATGCTTGATGGGACCTCCTGAAGGAGGATATGCATTACAATGTTTTGTTGTGAACAGGTTAGAAAAGTGAACTTCTCCTCTCCCATAGAGGGTCAGGGGTTGTAGTTCTAGTGGCAGGTTAGCAAGGTGAACTTCTCCTCTCTCATAAAGGGTCAGGGGTTGTAGTTCTAGTGGCAGAGTCCCACTCAACCCCAACCCCTTAAATTTATCCTGCCATTTCAGTGCTAAGGAAGAGGGCTAGAGGTGTAAAGTATTGTAAGTAATTGGCAAAACTCTTAAGTCTCCATGAGGAATCGAACCTTACCTCAGACCTTCGGATTCAGCACTCCATCTTTCTCTTCTATTTACAAAACATGACACTTTCAACATTGCAATCCTAGCAGTATGCAAGATGCATGTTATATATGGACTCTTTATTACACGACTCGGGCAGTCAGAGGGCCAATAACTAAAATCAACCAATCAAAATTCTCTATTGCCGGTCAATATTCTCTCAGTATTGGATTGGGCACTGTCCCGAGTGGTCCCGAATGATACCGTACTTGTGTCCTTTTGAACTTCAGTCGTATAATAAATCTCTTATTAACCAAGCTTGCTCGGGACTGTACCGGAAGAATATTGGCCCTCGGTCTTTTTTGTATGGACCTCGCTGTGCTTGGTCCGTACTGTCAAGACCTCAGGCCGATATTCTCCCAGTACGGCCCTCGCGCTTGGCTAATAAGATATATGTAATGGACCTTGCTCACCATGGAGTCTCTGTGGCTCTATGTGGCTCTATGGGAGAGCTTTGGAGGGCAAATTTTGAATGTCTCAGGTTCAATTCTGCATGGGGACAAAGAATTTTTCCTTTGACCCATGCCCATGACAAGACAAAAAAACATCTTTCTCCATTTCTTTACCAAGCTCAAAACTTACCATCTTTCTATTCTATATATTGGCAATATGTAAATAAAATCATGAATGAAAATTCCAGGAATGCCAAAATTGTAAGGTCACCTCCCTGAATTATATCAAGTTTGCTTTAAAAACTATCTTCTCTTTGACTTCAGATTTGTTAACAAACCAGTTGGTAATGTTGGTGTGTATGACCCAGCAGAGATCCACAACAGGCATGAACTTAAGGGGTTTATTAAAGAGGCTATGATCAAGCTTGGATTCCATCTTTTATTCTTTTTTCTATATCTTTACAGGTAAGTTTCAGTTTCTCTCTTGATAGTGGTATTTTTCTGCCAAAAAATTATCACAAAGGGAAATTAACAAAATAGCCTTAATTTGGAAACATCTGTTATCCTGAAGATCCTCTGTAACTTGAGTTGTTCTTAAAATTGCTGTCTTCTTGAAAAAGACAAAGTTTCCAGGCAGTAAACCTGGGTGTAAAATGAGAGAGATGTTTAAAGTTGTATGATAATAGATAGGGGAAAATCTAGGCTTTAAGTTGGATTTTTTTCCCCTTTCTCTCTAAATGAAAAAACCCTCTTTCACACAACTCATTTTTTTTGTGTTTCTAACCCTATGGCTTGGAAAGAAAACTAAGTAAACCATTTTTCATTGTCACTGTAATTTAAGGGTTTGGATTTGTTGGGCAAATGAACTTGTAGGTTTGAATTTGTTATCAGTAAAACTTGATTTGATACATTATATTAAATGAACTATATTAATTTTCTTTTCTGTTTTCAGTATGATATCTGCTCTTTTAGAGAATGATGCAAAAAAGGAGACAAGTTGAATCATGGCAGTTGTTTTTTTGTACTTACCATCCATAAGCCTTCAGAGAGGATGAAGTTGGTGAATTTGTAAAAAAAAAAAACATTTCATCAAAAATACTGGTTTCTCCAGTTTTTTAATTTGTGGTGTTGCAGCTGTCAAAGTATTTTTTTTTCTAAAGCACATACAACCTATTCTTTATCTTGCAATTTTTGTGGTGTTTAATTGTCAATCTTGTGGTTTACAAAATCATTTTCTCTGAAGTGCCTGTAAACAGATTATTCTCTATATAAGCAACACAAAATTGATGCTTTTCATTCCAATGCCAAATGGTCGCTAAAGAATTAACTCAGAAGCCAAATAATAAAGACCACGTGTTAAGTAGATAGGGCTCTTGAGGTGTATGTTCTAGGACAGAAAATGAACACTTTTTGTTGTGATGAAAATTATCAGAATACTCTCCAATACAAAGCACATTATCATCAGAATTAGACATATTTATTTGTCATTTTTATACTCTCAGAGTGTTGTATAGTTTTGATGTTTTTGTTGGAATGTTCTTTGGAACTCAAATAAAGGTATTTTATCTTTTCCTTGTGGATGATTTGTCACTTTGGTTAGCATGGACAATATTTAGTAAAATTTTCATTATAATAGGGTCAGAAAAACTGATCTCCAAGTCATGGACTCATTTAAGTTAGGTCTGTTTACAAGTCAAGTTTACTTGACTCCAGTTTCCCTAGCATGAAGCCACTAAGTGTATTTCTACTCCCGCTGGATGGGATGCTAGTCTTCCCCAGGTCTTCCCCAGCATTAAATTCTCCGGTACCCATTTAATCACTGAAGAGAGGCACTGTGAGAGTAAAGTGTCTTGCCTAACCGCCTCCCAGTTAGGTCAATGGATAGAGCGCTGGACTTTTGTGCGGGAGGTCGAGGGTTCGAGCCCTGGCCGGACTAACGCTCAGGGTCTTAAAATAATTGAGAAGAATATCCTACCTTTCTATAACATCAAGAAATGGTTAAATATTCTAGTCTCGGATAGGGATGAATATAAATGGAGGTCCCATCTCCAGCAAGGTTAGGGGCAGGAGACGTTAATTTCCCACGCATGAGACTACTGTGTGATGGATGTCCTCTCCTGGGGTGGGATGGGTGGTTAACAGGACCCCTGTTGATACCAGTGTTTACTACACTGAAGGGGCTGTCCTGTATAAATATAGATGTCTACTACTACTACAAACACAACACACCGTCCCCAGCCAAGGCTTGAACTTGGACCACTTGACCCAAGAGTTGAGTGCACTAACCGTGAGGCCACCACACCTCCTATACACTTATTACTGGTACTTTGTGAAAAAAAACTCTTCCCCTATAAATTTCAAAGACTATATGCATTTGCATCAACCTAAGTAGAATAATTGTATCCACAGGCACCACATTTCTTTTATTTTACAGACTGATTTAATACGTATGATGCACTATCCTTGCAGTAGATAGCGCTATTTAAGCAATAGCGAAAATCAGACCTGAAAAAAATCAGGCCTGTACGGGACTCGAACCACTGACCTCTGCGATACTAGTGCAGCGCTCTACCAATTGAGCTAACAAGCCAACTGGGAGCAGGCCGTTAAGTTGATTCGTAATAAACCCGTGAAAGTGATAATGCATCATACTTATCTAATATCGCAGTTCAAAATATATGAACTTCATATATTTCATTGTATCAGACTGATTTAAATTTCTTTAAATTAGAACAAATTAAATAAACTTCCAACTTGGTTTGCAGCAAACAAAGTTTCTCAATACTCAAGCAAGACTAAAACATTACTATCAACAATTACTGAATAATATATTATTACAAATTGCATTTTTATTCATTTGATCAAATTCTCTTTTTCATGTTATGATACCAAAGCATACAATTCTCTATAGTTTCCATTTTGTTTAAATTAAATGTCTATTGAATGGTGAGCCAAAGGAAATTAAATTAAAAAAACTGAAAATTGTTAAATATCCATTAATCAATAAATTTGTAGTTTAATTTCTGCCACTTGTATGAGGCACACTGTCTTAATTTTCCTTGTTAGACACTTCTTTCCTGGCTAATTCTAAAGCACCAATAATTCCAGTTGAATCACCAAAAACACTTTCTCTAATGTAACTTGCCAATCCTTCTTCTGACTTGAATTTCTCCACATCAAGATATCCTTTCAGTAAATCCTTGAACCATTTTCTTGCTTTGCCAAAAAGTATCTTACGCTTCAGGATTCCTCCTCCCAAGACAATCACGTGAGGAGAGAGCAGATATGTAATGTTTAGGCACAGAACTCCAAGGTAGTAGGCAGCCCTCTCCCACACCTCGTGATCATCTGCCAGGGTGTGGAGTTCCCTTTGGCTTACCCCAGCTCTAGCTGCAATTGCTTTAGAGTTCACCATGCCCTCTATACAATACTCATGGTTGAAACTACATCCCCCAGGGTAGCTATCCCCAGGGATGGGAGGTACCATTATATGTCCTCCCTCGAGATGGAGGAGCCCGTGAATGGGTTTCCCGCCCACCACAGCCCCAACACCGACACCAGTTCCAACAGTGATGTAAACCACCGTGGGTGTATCCGCGGGATCGTGTTCAATTTTCGCAAGTTCAGCCATCGCAGGTGCGTTGACATCCGTTTCGAACCCAATTGGAGTAGTGTCGCCGAATTCTTGTTTGAAAAAGCCAACAATATCAGTATTTCTCCAAGGTTCTTTTGGAGTTGTGGTGATGAAGCCGTAGGTTAGGGAACTCTTGCGCAGGTCTACAGGCCCAAAGGACGCAATTCCGACGGCTGCATATGAATTGATGCCCAGACTCGCAAGCTTCTGTCTGAGAAATTTCGTCAAACTTGAGAGCGTCTCCAGTGGTTTGGCTTTGGTGTCTGTTTCAAAACTCTCAATAATCTTTGTTGGTTGGCTTAACTCTGCAATTGCAGCAATACATGTAGTGCCTCCGAGCTCCACGCCGGCAATGTAGTTCATCTTTTTTTATCGATCCTCGATAAAAATGAAGAGAATTAAGAGAGAAATGCACTTTTATTGGCTGAATTCAGCGTGGGGGATGTACCCTCTACCTAGTCCATCGTGACAATTTGTTGGTCACGAGTCAGTTTTGTTTTGACCTCCCGCCTTGCGGATGCATGCTGATCAAGGCCTTTCTGAAAAGGTCATTTGCGTGACAATTCAAGTAACCTTTTCATATTAAAGAATTTGCATGAAGCACAGACAGACGGTTTCACGTTCCTTTCATTGTAGAAGATTATGGCGGGATCTACTGCGCCGTACGGTTCTTGGGTTAGCCCGATTGATAGCGATGTTGTGATTAAAGAATCAAGATCTCTAATGGAAGTTAGGATAGACCCGTTCCAAGAAGGTGAGCGTGCTTTTAAATTAGTGTCTGCAGTGCAAGAGACAACGAGTGCAAAATGCCTCTGAAAGTACGAGCGTTCATGAGTGGAGTGTAAGCACATGGCGATCATAGCTTATGTCAGTCAAAGCACTGGCTTTCTTATAAGTTTCCTTTTTAAACGTTGCAGGTTTATCTTTAGGTTATGATCGGAAACGATCTCGGCGAACTTTCATAAGAAGAAGTGGAATGATATATTTTTCCGAGAAGCGTCTCGGAAACGGTTGAAAAAAAAAAAGCTCACCAGGCAAGCGACTCGATAGCGTGCGGAAAGCTCTACACGCGTGAGCGACGGAATAATGGACTAAGTAAATTTTTTTCTCCGCTACTAATTTTTTTTATGTTTGGGGAAAAGGGGAAAAAATTTTAACTGTTGAAATTTATATTCTCAAGGCCCGAAACATGTAGATATATACATGTGGCTTACAGAAAGAGACGCTGAATCTATGCTCTATGACTAAGACCCCAGACATATCGTCTGTCCAAAGAAAAAATAAACCAGTTGGTCTTGTTTTACGAGCTGCCTAAAGAAGATGGTTCAGAACCCCATTTCTTAGTGACCCAATGCCTCTCTTTTATTTCATGAAAAAGATTGACACCTGAAATAAAGATCTAGCTACTGCTTATAACAGCTCGACTATTCTTCCTGCCTTGCAGAGCCAGGAATTTCAAAGCTGCTTTGATTCCACTTCAAGGCTTTGATTTGGTTTTGCCAGCCACACCCTCCGCATACCTCTTTCAAACCGTATTTGGTTCCAAAATTTTTTTCAGATGACTGGAGCATATTCATGGGTAATTTTGGCTATCGTTACTAAAATGTGTTTGCGCTTACATATTTACCACACCAGAGATAGACGAGTGCATGGGTTGCTCGAGATCCAGTATGCGAATACTGTATTCTAAAGTACAACATGCTATAATTTATCTTGCATACTGTGCATTCACTTCCACTACTTACACTGCTGCCTGTGTTCTTTGCACGATCATGAAGAAGACTTGCAGTATGCGTAATTTCAAGATGTTGTGATCTACATCAGTAGTACATCATGAGATAAAAAATTGCATTCTTTTGTTATTGCATTTCATTGTGATAAATAACTACAGTTCTTTTTGTAGTACTTCTGTTTTGTTCTTAAATCTATGAGTAAACATTTTGCCTTTAAGTGGCTTCATGCTAATCATTGAGACTGAAAAATGCCTCTTTCATTTAAATTATTTGATTCAATGTTGCAGGACTTTCAACATTGTACAATTAAGCTTAAACATGCAATATGAATTAATAATGACAATTGCAACAATGTGTACATCAAACATGCACAAGTTAGGGTGCCAAAGGGATTTGTAAACATGTTTTCTTGCTCAGCAGTGGGCTAGTTTTTTTAGACTTAAATAATTTCAGAAAGACCATTCACTTATATGTTATCTATGAGTGACTTTTCTGTTAAAGGTGACATGATAGTCTTCATTTAACAATGATCCCTAATTAGAATCTTAACTTATGTAAATATGGCATTGACATTTCAGAAGAATGCACCAAGGTCATTGGCTGGTTCATTAAGAGCTCTCAACATACAAAATCCATTACAGTCTAGTCTAAATTTCTAAGATGGATATCAATTTTCATGTTAACCTTTATTCTTGCTTGAAGAGGCTTGATGGCAAACATTTTTCAAGTTTTGCAGATATAATCAGTCATTCTTGTCCATCCTTAGCCATGCAAGTCCTTTAAGATTTTTTATTGCTTAACATTATGCTATGTTGCATTTGTCTTCCTAGTTTATAAAATTATTTTAAGATTTCCCTCCAATTAAGGAAAAATTTTGATTAGGGCCCCTTCAATCTTGAAGAGACCAATTTTAAATTGAATTGATAGGATTAATTTGGCCTTGGTTTTACAATCCTTAAAGTAAGAGTGCTCTCAAGGTACCAGTGATAAAATTATATTAAAGGTTAGTTTATTGAAGTGGAGTCATGGATGCTTTGTTTTGTCATTTATTCCTGTAGACAAAGTCTTCTGGTCAGAGATGCGGCCAGAGGAAGATGGAAGATATGTCATCTGTTGCTGGAGTGGGGGACTAGAATCCATTACCCCAGATGGTTTCAGCAGTCGAACACTTGTCCACGAGTATGGAGGGGGCGCTTTCTTTGTTCACAAGTACCGTATCTACTTTTCCAATTTTAAAGATCAAAGGATGTACTGCCAGAAGATAAAGAAATCTGGAACTGAACCCGTTCCTATCACTCCAAAGCATAAAGACTGGAGATATGCCGATGGTGCCATGTACAAAAAAAACATAATTGTTTGTGTACGTGAAGATCATGAAGTGCTTACTGAAGGAGCAAAAGAGGCACAAAACACAGTTGTATCTATCAATCGTAAAAAAAAGGAGCAATTTGTGTTGGTGAGTCATCATGCAAGTAAATAGTAGCAAGGAGGAATTCTTCTCTTATTCATAAAGGATTTGTAGCAGTGACAGAGCTTTCATTCCTATGATCTGAAAGCTTATAAATGTTTTTTATTATTATCATTGATACAACTCTTTTTGAGAAATTCTTGAAAATGTTCTCACAGTGAATGTATTAACAACAGAATTTAAGGTTGAACCTGCTCAAAACAATAAGTAAAAGGAAAATTGTGTCCTCTTGCTCTTTAAAGAAAGGCGTAAAAATTTGAAGAAAAGCATGACCACCAGTACAAGTTTTGAATTGAATTTTCACAAAGAAACATATAACTCAAGATGCATCACTGTTTAATTTATCTATCACAAATTTGCTCTGTTTCATGTTACTGGACATTGCTGAGTCCTTTTTGAAATTAAAAATGTTATACCAGTAACTTGCTGGCATTTCGTTTTTACCACTTAGACGTCTAGTTTTGCAAAAAAAAAAAATTGTAGAAAGGATAACAGAATAACGCTTTTTCCTCATGAAAAATGTGCTGCTCTGGGTGCCCAGTTAATTTACTTAGTGTAGTGGAAAGTCTTGTCCAAATCCTAACTTATACATGTCTTGGAATCTAAAGGTCTCTGATATTGATACATACCAACTTTGCAATGTCGGGTTTGACAAGCATGCATTTTGTGATTTCAATTGAATCAATATATTTTGTTTCTTTTTATTTGCAGGTTTCAGGAGCTAATTTTTATTCAACTCCAAGGGTATCCAAAAATGGCACAATGGCCTGGGTGCAGTGGAACCACCCAAACATGGTAAAATTAAAATCATAATGAGTTATTTAAATTTTTATGTGGCCAGGTATAATACATTGACCTAATAGGGGAATCCTTGTTTACAATATTTGCCTCATTAGCATAAGCAATTCAGTTTCTGATGGAGCTAAAGATAAATCAGTTCGGAATATCGAAAGGTCAAAGTACGATTAACTCGGTCAATGAATATGAGCCTGATGCATTGAATACTTTTTGTGCAACACAGGTTTAAAAACTCAAAATTTTACATAGAATGTATGAGCTCATTAGCACTTTTACCACCCAGAAATTTTGCAGTTTTTGATGGACTATATTTCTCCTTGAATATTACACCCACAGAGCTAAAAATTTCAGCATGTACTATAACTAGGTCTGAGCCATAATTATCAAAACAACAAAATTTGTGTTCTCATTCTGTCTGCCTAGTGGGGATCACCGGGCTTTTAAGAACTACATAGAATAGGGTGACAGAAGCTGGATTGACAGGAGAGGAAAAGGCCCTGGAGAGGAAAAGTAGGGTGGTTAGCAGGAGGGAATTACAAAAATACCAAAATTTCTACACCATTATAATCTTCAATATTACCATTTAGTATAATTTCAGAGCTGAACAAAGAGTTTCCAGCAATCTGAGTGGTCAAGCGGTTCCTTATATGACGCTATATAAACCACTCCTCACGGTTTATATAAAATGTTAAACTAAAATGTTAATAAATGTTACTAAAATGTTATGATTTTAGAAATTTCTCCATTGTTCAGCTCTGAAATTATACTAAAATAATTATTCGCCTCAAGTTCGGTGAATATTGTCAAATAATCCCCTCGACTTCGTCTCGGGGATTATTCGAAGATATTCACCTCGCCTTCGGCGAATAATTGTTAAATATAGCTGGCAGCACCCGTGGGCAATACATGTGTAGGAGGTGAATCCTGTGTTCTGGTTGGCTACCTGAGCAGGCCAGATGGTCCCATCTTCCCTTCTTGAGATTACTCACTATGATCCCATGCAAAAAAAAAAAAAGAATATGTTCTTTTCTTGTGCTTTTATGGAACTCAACTTGGTCTCCTTAATAAAAACACACAAAAAAACTCTGCTTATATCCAGCCATCTTAACCTCCTGCTTGGTCAATACCTTGGTAATGCATGATTGTGTATTCTAAAGACAAGAGTTGGAATTAAAAAAATTGGGAAGTAGGTGGTTGTGAAGGTTATTCTACAATTTTTTTTATTTTAAGCCATGGGATGACACTGAGCTTTGGCTAGCAGAAATAACATCAGATGGAGATTCGCTGAAGGAAGAAACAAAACGAAAGGTAGGGACACTGTTGAAAGTCTCAAAGTCATTACTAAAATCGTATGGGTCTTAAATGCATTTGAAAGCCTCAAAAGTAGAGTCCTTGTTCACTTGTGCTGTTTAGTGTGGCATGAACTGAGTCTTTTTCTGACAATTCTTTCTCTAATTTCATCAGTTGGATGAACCCTTACACTTTTAAGAGTGACCAGCATCTAATTTCTCCTTACAATATCACCCCTGAATCAAACATTAAGGTAATGAGAATAAATGGAATGATCATTAACTAATTAATATGCTTTTGATTATTAGACAAATTCTGCATATAAGTGCCTTAAGAAAAGTGTAGATAATAGTAAGGCGAGTATGCATTCTGATATTAGAATGTAAAGGGTTACGGGATGTGAAATGTGAAAGATAAATCACGGAGATGCAAAAAGGTCTTCCGCTACAAAGCTTTTTTTCTTTTTATTAGACTGATTATCTGTAATATCTCTTTGTGTCCATATATTTAGGTAGCAGGGGGACTTGGTATTAGCGTCATCCTTCCAAAGTGGTCTCCAGATGACAAGCTCCTCTACATCCATGACAAAACAAACTGGTGGAATCTCTATCAGTTGGATGATGATGAGGACAATGAGACCAGTTTGTGTCCACCGTCTGAAGAGATTGGTCAGCCAGCCTGGACATTTGGAGAGAGTCCATACTCCTGCAGTCCCACCAGCAATGGTGACATTCTTATGATTCATGGCTCGGTATGACTTTTTTCATTATAGCTAGATAATGAAATATTGTTTTTCAGTCAACTGCTACTTTGAAATGAGCCAAAAATTGGGTCGGAGACTTAGCTGGGTGACATGTTGTATTTTTGGGCAAAACCCTTTACTTTCACAGTGCCTTACTCCACCCAGGAGTAGAAATGGGTGCTAGCAAACTGTGTGTGAAGCCTGATGAAATGAAGTGGGGTAACCCTGCAATGGAATAGCATTCCATTAGGGGGGGAGTAATACTCCTAGTTGCTTCATGCTATTGAAACTGGGATAAACTCTGGCTGGGGGGCACTTGACTTGAGTACAGACTTTAACTTACCTTTTTACCTAGAACAATAATTCACAGTTGTTCTTCTTGATATAATTATTTATATTTTGCCTTTCCGGCAATGTTTTATATGTGTTTTCAGGAGCTGGCATGCCTCAAACCCTCTGGTGAAAAGCAAGTTATCACAATCAAAGAGGATGATTACAAATCTTTTGGCAAGTTGGAATACTCTCCAGATGGAAAGTATGCATACATGGTGGCAGGGGGTCCACAGACGTTCACAAAGCTCATAAAATTGGACCTTAACTCTGGAAAATCCTCAGTTATCCGTGAATCTCACAGTGCATCTGTTGATCGTGGGTACTTAAGTGTTCCTCAAGAAGTGAGCTGGGATACAAGAGATGGTGCAAAGGCCTATGGATATTACTATCCTCCTCAGGTTAGTTTATCTTTCAAAGGGGAACCTTGAACATTAAGGCTGGTTTTGTGTAAAAGATCAACTTTGTCATTATATTTCATAGATCTATCTTTACTTTAAGGATTTTTGGTAGGTTCTTTGTTGTTTCTCCTGTCATTACTGACAATTTCCAGTTTGAGTTAGCAACAAGTTGAGGGTTTGAGATGATGAAAAATATTTTTTACTGTTTATGTTGTGAAGTACAAGTCTCTCATCTTACAAAACACAACACCCCATGCCACACCCAAGTTTGGGTAGCATGTAAAACCACTCTGCTGAAGCAAACTTACTCAAGCACCATTCTTCTTAAAATTAACACTTAACACCCCAACGTCAGTATGCTTATTCTCCATACTGTTCTCTATACATTTCCCAAGGTGCTAACAAGGAGAATTTGTTTAACAATCAAGAGCTTCTTTTATTGGTGATTATTTCCTTAATTTATTCTTGTTACCTTGATGTTTGATTCAGGGGTAACATTGTATGGAGAGGTTTAAAGGACTAATTGTAATTTAATTACATAACTTATCAGTTACATTTTTCACATAAGAGACATGGCCTCATTTTGAACAAGGGAAGCTAATAATGAAATTGTGACTGGACACTCCCTGACAAACAACGGGACAATCACTCTTTACAAATCAGGTATTTTTCATGCATTGTGTCTTGAACTTTTTCAGAACAAGGATTATCAAGGGCCAGATGATGAGAAACCTCCTCTACTTGTGAAGGTTCATGGTGGACCCACCAGTGCCTGTTCACCAGTACTTGATCTCAAGAAACAGTATTTTACATCGCGAGGCTTTGCAGTGTTGGATGTCAACTACCGTGGCAGTACAGGATTTGGCAGAAAATTCAGGGATGCTCTTAAAACAAAGTGAGTGCACAAACTAAAGTTATCATTAAGAGCTAGTAGCTGACCAACAGAGGCTAGTTTGTCATCTTTAGCAGGTGTCTTTAACCTCATTTTGCCTTAAGTGCTGAATGAAAAATCCTACAAATATTGAAATACTGGTACCCTTGAAGCAATTTGTGTACAAGCAGTCATTTCCCAGTTTTGGGAGGAATTGAATACATGATTTACTAGTATCGGGTTTAGATGTGATTCCAGTCCATGTTTTAAATTTGCTCAAAGGAACACCTGGGATGACCTGTTTGCCAAAGTTTTTCAATGATTACTGCAAAATTAATGGCAGCATGAATGACCCAGTGCACTATATCGGGTGTCCAATAATATGACTCAGATGGTAAATCCCCAATAAACATTTTCCTAATCAAGAAGTTATTTATTAATTAATATTTTTTTTAATAAGTCAATCAGTTAGACACCAACACACACATGATATCTTGTTGATAACCATACATAAGCGTGAACAACTAGAGAACAATTGAAATTTACATTTGTATAAATCACCAAGTGAAAAACACCAGTATATCTGTCATACTTCCCAAGCAGAACACCAACAAAGGCTTATGCCCTTTTAAGATTTCACCAACTACAGAGTTTTGTGGCTGTTTAGATTGCTAAATCCCCTGGCTATGAAACAATGGAGTTCTAAACAGCTTCCAAGAACAACAGATGCAAATAAGTAAACACTAATACATAACCTGAAGTGAATTACTGCTTTTCAATTAAAAGATTCATTCTTTTCACAAACGATATTTGTGTATTCAGAAACAATTATAACTGTAATATGTATGGATTCTATAACAGCTGGGGACTGGTAGATGTTCAAGACTGCTGTGATGGTGCACTGTATCTGGCTAGTGAAGGCAAAGTTGATGGTAAAAGGCTTACAATTGATGGTGGCTCTGCAGGCGGCTTTGTTGCATTATCTGCCCTTACATTTCATAAAGATTTCAGTGCAGGCACAAGCAATTATGGAGTGTCTGACATCTCAGCCCTTGCAGAGGATACGCACAAGTTTGAGAGTCACTACACTGAAACACTAGTTGGTCCTTATCCTGAAGATAAAGCAACTTATGATGAGAGATCACCAGTATTTCATGCAAGCGAGTGTAAGGCTGCTCTGGCAATGTTTCAAGGCTCTGAGGACAAGGTGAGCTTTTTATGACTATTTCCTTGCAATCAGACTTTCTTGAGCCAGTGGAAAGTGTCAAGTAACAACAAGCTTCTGCCCATTACTGGAAAAGCTCCTGATTACAAGCAGTTAAATATAAGGAACCAAATGTACATCTGATAAAGACAAAAAATTCTCTTGTACCAGTTTAGGGTCAAATTAATTTCAATATGTTCCAGAGTTTTTCAGAAACTCTGACTGATAGATCAGGAAAATATTTTCTCCAGTGAGATACAGTTTTAGCCAAGCGTAAAAGTAGAACTTCAATCAACTCAGTTTCAACTGGCCTAATCAGCAGAGGAGTTCATCTGTGAGGAGGATTGGTTCTTTCCCATAATTGGATTCTAGTTCATTGCAAGGATACCCCTTAGCATTTTACCAGGCTTCTCTGATGGTTTGCCAGCACCCATGTACTCTCTGGGGTGGAGAGAAGCATTGTACCTGAGAGTAATGTTTTTGTTTCAGGAACACAAGACAATGACCTAACCAGGTCTACAACCAGGACCTTTCAACCTGGAATTAAGCATGCTAACCAACATAAGTGCCAATGTTGTCCAACCAGGGCTCAACCTAAAACTTTCAAATCTACAGTTCGTAATGCAAGCTGTTGCTCTGACCAGCAGTAGTTGTTTTCCTAGAATTTAACTAGATAGTGAGATGCGAGCAAAATAGGTTCAGTTTTTTTATTTGTTTATTGTTTATCAGATTGTTCCACCTGAACAGTCTCAAAAGATGTATGATGCAGTCAAGCATAATGGGTTCCCTGTGGCATACAAAGTTTTTGAAGGTAGTGTGTTGACGGCTTAGTGTTTACAAAGCTATAACCTTGTACACTTTGGGTTAAACTGTGGGCTTTGTCTTTTGCTGAATGCCCTGTCTTTTCAACAAGAAACAGGCATGCTGTGACTGAAATCAGTTGGTCAAGTACTTAAAATAATACAATGAGAGAGAAACAAGGTTATGCCTGTTATGACCCAGAAACAATTCCAGTTGAAGTCTAATGATGTTAAAACTCTTATTTCAATTCACTCACTTTCACTTTTGTAAGAGTGAAAAGGAGAATACTAGCTTGGATTATTTGTTCATGGAGGAGATTTTAAACATTGAAGGCTTATTAATTTGTGCAATGTTCCCTTGTCCCCTTACCACGAGCAGGCTGAATGGGAAAGTTCCTCAGCATTCAGGAAAAAAAAAACATTTTCCTCACCTAATTTTTCATGTAACCTATAAACTATTGAATTGAATAAATCCTTTAATAATGCTATTGTTTTTTTTTCCCTAAGGTGAACAGCATGGTTTTCGCAAAGCAGAAAACATCAAATTCTCTCTTGATGGAGAATTTTACTTCTACTCCAAAGTTTTCAATTTTGATGCACCTGGCATTGATGTGGACGTGAGTAGCTTAAGAATTTTGCACCGCACAAATGATTATTTATGGTAACTTTTTGCTTTAATAAGGAAAGGATCAATTGGCTGTTGCTTGTGCACCATTGGCCACTTTCATTTCAATTTTTAAATTGTTGTATCTAATTTTCTGCAGCTTGACATTGAAAACTTACCTGAAGAGGAAAGCTAAGATTGTGGTATGAAGGTCTGCTTGGAAAGGGAGATGCCTCAGGAAAACAATGATTGGATGATATGATGGGTACAAAGCCAGGTTTAGGTGCAGGTCTGAAAGCAGCAGTGGTATCGTTTGGTTTTCCATTCTACATTTTCTTATGACTTTTTCAAATACAAGATTTGTTAGAGGTCAAACTTTTGTATTCTATCTAGAACTTGCTTATTAAATTCTAGGAGCTCTTCTACCATTAACAAAGATGACTTCATTAGTCCAAAAAGCATGTTGAGTAAAATATGTTTAGCAAGTGCATTATGTATTACTAACAACATTAGTTTCCATTAAAACTAACAACACATTTTGTACTAAAGGTTGCAATAAAATTGAAAAGCAAAGGTTCTAGCTGAGTGACATTTATTGTTGTGCTTATAACAGCATTAGAGGTTAAGGATACAAGGTTGTGGAATTTACACTGTAAATCCTTGAAAGAACACCACAGGGTACCGTCTATTTCAAATCTGGGTGAAGACAAAGGCAGCTTTGTAAACAGTTCGGCTAAGAGGAGGCACTGGGAAGGACACTATGAAATCAGAGTGCTTGTATATATAACAGTGAAAGTCAAGTTTCAAAAATACCAGTGTCTTCCATTTTTATGAAATGGAATTAAATAAAATTCTTTAGACATTGAAAGTAATCATTTGTTTTATTACTTAATTGGCTGCAGCAATATAAACTTTGTATTCTTTTATTCCTGACAACATAATCTAGAAGCACCATGCAAGAACAATGTTAACATCTTAGTGCAATATGCTAGATATTTTCAATAAAAATAAGTAAATTCCCTTTAAAACACTTTTAAATAAGACTTTCTAGCATAAAAGAATCATCTCTGTAATCTCAATGTTTTCTTTTCAATTTGAAAAGTCTTAATTTCTGATGGCTGTGATGACTGTGGATGTAGAATAATTTTCAAATTGTCAATTTATACTGACAAATATTTTAGGAATGGCTGACTGGTCTGAAATATGTCAAAATGCTCTTTCCTGGCTTGGATTTATCTTCTCCCTGATAAGGTTAAAAAACAAGAGGAGGTTATACGTTGTTTTTCCTAGCAAGAGTGATCTAAGTGACCTATTTAATGAAGACAAATTTTATCATCTGAAAGTTAAGACTCAAAGATCATCATGAGTCAAGGAGAAATATGTCTACATGCACTGAGCTCAAACCAACCCCTTTAGACCAAGAGCCACCACCTAGTCACACACTCCCTCTCTGAAAACTGAAATAAAAAATTAACAACAATTGTGCACCATCAACAAAACCTTTTATATTGCAGGATCAGTGTGCATATTCTCCTGAATGTTTTTTTGCACAATTCCTGTGATACTAATACAGGAGAACTATTTGGTAAATCAATCAAGAGCTTTGTTAGTTGGTGCAATGATCATTTCCTTTATTCTCATTACGTTAATTTTTTTTGATTAGTAAAACTACAAGGAAACGTTTGATGTTAGTCACTTTTGAGGATTAAATGGTTGCATGAGAACATTTCAAAGACATAATTAAACATCTTACTTGTGGTTGTAAGCCATTGGCTGGTGATTCCCCATCAGAAGCCATAGTAATTATATCTATGTTCTCTGTGGTGTTTTCACCTCCCTCCTCAGGCAGTCGATTACTCTTCTCACCATACTTTTCTTTATGATGACTACTCCACTGCATTAGCCAGTTTTCAGAATGAGCTTTGGCATTAATCTTGTGTTTGGCAGCTGCTTCTGATTTTTGGTGACACTTATTATCAGGTTCCAGTTTGGCAAAAGTAGCTACACCAGGAGAACTGTTGTTAATTGTTTTGTTTTCTTTACCAGGACTTGAACTTGATTGTTTCAAAATTCTCTTTCCATTATGGCCTGCATTAGAACTTAAGGGATCACTGATGCATAATCTTTTCCTCAGGGGTGACACTGAAGCATTCCTTTGTCCACTGAAATGAGCATTTTCAGTTTCGTCTTTAGTCTTGTATTCTTGTCTGTTAGTTTTGCTTGTTTTATTTGGTTGTGTGACATCTTGTGAAGAGTCAGCAGCTTTCTGTGTCAAGTCAGAGCCTTTCTGAGCTGTAACAGACTTGATCTGGTGATTTATTTGGTCACAACTATAGCTGTGAGATCGTTTTCTTGAATTTGATTTTAACCAGGATGTCAGTAACTGAGTTGGGCTGTGAAACTTTGAGACAGTGGGTGACTTAGGGCTGGAGCAGGGTGATGGCTGGAATGCAGAGGAAGGCCCTATCTGAGAATTTGAGACCTTAATTGGAACCACTTGAGGGGATGGACCTAAGAAAAAAATAAAATTATTTTTAGTGCATTGGGATATACCTGAATTTACAAAATTAATTATGATTTGTGACACTACCAGATTGATATATTCATAGCAGTCCAGACATTTAAAAAATGTAGGAAATAGTTTCAGTTCTTCTTTTACATTGAATTTTCAATCTCCATCTCCTTGGTCCATATACAATTGTAGTCTCATTTCTTTGGTTTTTGTCTTCCTTGACAAACTGTTATTTCAATGTTTAATTCCATTTCAAGACAAATTATACATAAAAGTTTGACCTTTTCTTAAGTTGCTGTTAAGATAATAATTTTAAAATTTCTTGATTTTTGATGATTTTTTTCAGGTCCAAAAATTGTAAAATTGGTTTCTAAATTATGTGAAAATAATCATTCAGTGGTAGCATTTCTTGCTTTGTTCTTGTCAGAAAAAAAAAAATCTTGACTTATTTTCCATGCCTTTCTTTGATCCACTCTCAACCATGACCATTCAAGTTTTCCATGATTCGTTAAGACCCGCCTGTTTATGCCTAACTTTACATTAATGACTTATCTTTTAATTCAAATGTTACTTAGAATACCTCTTGTCAGATTTTGCAAACTTGCAGATAGTTTTGGAGGCAAAGTTTGCATTGGAAGAATTTGTGTCTTTGGTGAGGTTGTGTTAAGGGGGTTCTGCAGTTTGGGAGTGGGGGACACCTTTCCAACAGGACTGGAGATTTGATTTAATCTTGGATTGGTGATGACTTTTGGCGGTGGGGTCCAGAGTAATCTCTTCGAATCAGGGCTGTTGTTGGGAGAATGGCTTGGTGTTCTATAAGAACTTGATGGACTTGAAATTTCTGCAAGGAGCGTAATAATCAAAGTGAGAAAATAATTCTTAAGAAATATTTCAAGATTAGACTATTATATGGTTTGCAACAGATGATATACATGAAAGACAGTGACATGGGTAACAAACTCAACAATAAACATTTCTGTCCAGTCTTGTTGGTTTTTTCTTACCATTGATGAGGAAATGAGATCCAATGCCAGTTCCTCTACAGCTCTCACCAATTACATCATGTTTATCACTGTTATGTGCTCTACAATCCATTCTCCTTTGAAAATCAGGGAAGTATGATTAAGTGATACAGCGAGTCGAGTTTTAAAATATCATAATGAATGTTTCATTTTCTCATCGTAGCAAAGTGCAAGAGCTCCTCTTGTTTTGGGTCCCATAACCTTATCTTTCTGTTGTTCCTGCTCTCTTTTTCTCCCTCTTTTCTCCACACATGTTTGAACATATTTTAAAATCTTTAACTAATTTTAAATTAAAAACTGAACTTAACAATGTTGTGTTGGTGTTGTACCATGGTGTTCACTCATGTTGTGTATGTGCATTAATTTTCATATTCTCTGTGAACTTGAGACTCACCATATTCTAAAGCTGTTATCATCTGAACAAGTTATAACCTATGATGGCAAAAGAAAAAATCGTGAAGTCCATAATAAACATTTTGGGTCTACATTCCTCAACTAGCTATCTATAGGAGCTAGGCCTCAATTTCAAATACACACTCATTTTGCAACTTCCAAACTCTACAGCTTGCAAGTTAAATGCCAAAAGTTCAGCTCAAACTTGCCTGTAGTACTAGTTATCGCTAAAACAGGATGTGGTTAGTCATCGTGGTAAATAACACTTCAAAAGAGATATAATCACAGCTAAGCACAAGAGCATAAATATGACGTGTACTCAATCGACCTCATCACCTAAAGAAGACTAGCAGTACACAGTCGAAACATTACGATCCACCTCCTTCCAATGTAGTTCTTGAAAAAGTATTGACTTAGTATGTAAAATTTAATTTCTACAGTAACTGTTTACCTTGTTTAATAAATTACATCCTTATCCGCTCATTTATAATTTTTAGCAAGTACACACCTTTCCTTGATCAGAGGGGCACCAGGCGACACTTGTCACTTCTCCAAAGTGCCCCCTTAGCAGGGTAGGTGGGGCAGTGGGGTCTGACACCTTCCATATAAATGCCTCATTGTTACTTGATCCACTGAGCAAGTACAAGTCATCAGGACTGAGAGCTGCTTTGACGTAAAAAGTGGAATTCAAGTGACCTGAGAAAGTACACACAGGCTCCTGACCTAGTGCAGTACAGCTGTACATGTAGATGTTGTCATCTGTACAGCTGGCAAATAAGCATGAATGGTTGGAGTCCAAGACAAGCGATGAAAAACCTGGAATGATAACAGACTTTTATGATGAAAAGATTCATAACTCAAATAACAAGAACACACTGAGCCATGACAACAACAATAAGAACAACAACTCTTTCACTGCACACAAAAAGAGTACTTGCTATTACAGTGAAATGATAGGAAAATTGCTAGTTATTGATAACATGCAATTTTTAAAAATCAAAACACATTGCAAAAATTTTTTCCAAAATTTGAGTTCCCAAACATGGGGTCTGCTTTATCTGCAAGGCAGCTTATAAGCTGGTGTTTAGGGTAGTTTGATCATTACTGGAGCCTAGCCAAAGGGATCATGAGGTTTTCAAGCTTAATGTGGTATTACTATGCAAGGCAGATACTAGTCTATGTGAAGCCTTTCACTCCCCCTGAGGAGATTCGTCATTTCTCCTCAGGGGGAGAGGGTTCAGCTACACATAGGCATGGCGGATACTAGGATTTTTTTTTAAGTTACAGCAATTTATGTTTCACTTCTTTGGCAGAGATGTATTGCCTGCACATCATGAAAATATTCAATCCTCAACATAGCTCTATCATTTTTTGTTACAGGTGCCTTACCATGTTTCCTTCTTACTCCTTGCCCTGGGTAAGGAAAAGTGTGAAAAGGAACTGGGTCTGCTTTGAGGTTGGTATAGGTTTTACGCAGGTCCCAGATCTTGATACTCCCATCCATTGCTCCAGCTGATATCAGCTTCTCTCCTCCTTGAAATAGCACAGCTGTTACACTTTGTTGCCCTGAATTCTGTGGATGCATAGTTTTCATTAAGAAATGTAGAAACAGGAAAATGGCTCAAAATAATAGTGGGCTCCTGCGTGTGCTTTGTATGTGTGGGGCAGAGCCCCATACTCATGGAATATGGTCAACCTCTTTTCGTTTCATTGTCACATTACTGACCGAGTGTATGTATGTACATATGTAAGTGCCTTCAGATTTCACAGGTAGGGTAGGGGAGCCTGACTATCAAAACGAAGTGAGGGGTGTCTCAGGCGAGTCTTGGCAAATGCACATCTTTTATGTTATCATTAATATTACAAACTTGGGAGCTCCGCTTTTTAGGCTTGGCTAAATCTATATATTAGGAAAACTCTATGAGACAGCTCTGCATTTAAATAAAAAAATAACAACTCAGACCATCAAACTTAGTTAGAGAATTCTGTGTTGTACATGGAGAATTCTCCAAAGTCCCCTGCATAATGTACACTCTACATCATGAACACAAATGTCTCAACATTTATTTATCTGAACAACTACAATTAATTAACAAACACAACTTTTATTACAAGTCATCTTTACCGTAACTGGTCGTGAAGAGGCTGATCTCCTTGATTTCTTTTTCTGGGGTTGTGGTGTCCCAGGGAGTTTCTCTGCATGTGCATTGCTTATTATATTAACAGGTTGACAGAAGTGTCCTGAGCGACGATTACATCTCATGTCCCATACCATAACATTGCCATCTCTTGCACCTGAGGCAAAGACAACTGATGAAAAAAAAAAAAAATGTGTATGTTAATTGAACATGGACATAAATAAGTTTATTAGTACTTTTCATGGCTATCTTTGAAGACCCAAGATGTTTGTGCATGCAAAATGATAAGCTAGATCCTTCTGTTTGGATTCTAATGAAAATCAATTGCTATTGGCAGTAAGATTGCAAGACAAATTGCTCAAACTAAGGAGTAACCAGTCAATCATACAGTCTAATATTCCTGTAACAATCACATTGCAATAACTAAAGTTGATGTCATCACTTGACTCCAACAGCACCTGTGTTGCTAAAACTGCAGCATATTGCCACCAGTGCTCTCCTTTTCAGGCAGTCACCGGTAAAATTTACCCCTGTAGTATTCTTATCTCTGCCTTAAATCACTTAGAATTCTTGAAAATTCAACAGGTAAAAGGCCTGCTCAAAGGATTAAAAAATTTCCTTTACATTTCCTGCTTAAATAAAGGGAGAACACTATGTCACAGACATCACTGAGTCCTTTTCAGGACAACTTTTCCCTGGAGTACGTGTATCTCCTACTATTTATAACTGTAACTGTTATGATAGCTTACAGATATCATCTTCTCTGAAGTCCACAGATTTTACACTACAGGTATGCCCCTTGAACACTGCCAAACAATCATCACGATTGACATCCCAAAGTCTTACTGTCTGATCACCAGATGCTGTCACCTGGAGACAATCATTAGCATATTCATAAGAATCAGTTACTTTAAAAGCTGTGAATGTTACTGACGTTTTCCAAAAATCATTTAATCAGTTATAAAGTAACAAAATTATTTACCAAAAATAAACAGAGATCTTCAAAATAGGACAAAGAATTAATTATCAGGTCTGTAATCTCCATCATCAAGCAAAAGTAAAACAGCTTCAAGATAATTTGGTTTCATCAACCAAGTTGACAATGTAAACAGGTCACCTTAATTTAAAGACTTACTATAGCTTATGTTTTGAGTGCTAGCCCAAGGTCAGAGCAAAGAAATGTCAGCTGTAACAACATTATCAACTCATTCACTAAAACCAAATTGTCTTGTATTACCCTCCACCAATACAGCACCACTGACTGCCTCCTGGTTAGCTCAACGGATAGAGTGCCAGACTGTTAAGCGGGAGGTCGAGGGTTTGAGCCCCGGCCAGACCATCACTCAAGGTCTTAAAATTACTGAGGAGAACGTGCTACCTTTCTATAATATCAGGAAATGGATAGATATTCTAGTCTTCTCGGATAAGGA